TAGGCGACATTGGGGTTTTGCAGTGAAAAGAGGACCGGGAAGCCGTCGTTTGTTTGGGAGTATTTCCCACCTGCGCGGGGGAACACGAGGTCGAGCTCAATGGCATTGGTCGGTAGCTGAGCCGTTGCTAAGTGCGTTACAAAGAGAAAGACGATCGTGACCATGCCGTAGAAGACACCCATAGTGCGCCCGAAAGCGCCTCGAAGAGGCGAATTGAATGAATGTCGAAATGGGCTGACGGAAGAAACCACTCGTGCATCTCACATCAGAAAAGGAGGAACTTCGTTTGGGAAATTGGACGAATCCTTCGACCCCATGAGATCTTGGCAACATTAGCGGCTCCGTCTCTCGGCCGAGAATCCAGTCAGCTCCGGTACGAGGGCATTTACCAACTGCACTAAAAGCGGTCCACTATTGGTGCTAGATTCGGGCTATTCGTAAAGTAAGAGTATCAGTAGATTGCAGCAACTCACCAACTCTAAACGGCATGAATATCACGTCATGTTCGTGAACGTGATTGGGGTGGAAAGAGGAATGGTCATTTTCGCGACGCCAGCAAGATTCTCCCAAATGAAGATGATTTGCCAATCTGAGTGATGATGACTACGAAACTTTAGAGAAGAGAAACAACCATGTTCACTCATGATAAGGACATAAATATAGGTGAAGTAATTATCGAATTCTGTATGTGAACTTTATAGACGATACCATCTGTTTTGCAACCTTTTCCCCTGTAGCTGCCAGTAGTCTCTCAAAGGCTCGTGCAGAAGCCGAGAAGCCGATATATATATATTGCAAATCCCAGAAGATCGCTATTTGCTGAAGAGAGTACATAGTTAATTGTGACTCTCATCGTTCCCACATTTTGACTTCAAGCTTAAGAATAAATAATCAATCATTTCCATTGTTGATATTGACCTAGCGGTCCGAGCCGGACATTTTCTAGTTACTTTCCTTCAATCCACGTCTTCTTCAAACTCCAGCCATCCACATATATCTTCGTCTCCACGGCATAATGAAACAAGTGTGCTCTACTCACTTCCTCTCCCCCAGTGCCACAATTTCCGCCTCAATAGCTGCTCCAAACGCCGTCGTGTTGCCTGAGCCCTTCATATCTGGGGTCAAAACCGCGGCTTCTGCGCGTCCCAACACGTTCTCAATGGCCTTCAGTACCAAGCTTGCAGCGTCCGTAAAGCCAAAGTGTTGGAGCAGCATCTGGCCAGCCCAGATCATGCCAACAGGATTGGCAACGCCTTTGCCAGCGATGTCGGGTGCACTGCCATGCACCGGCTCGAACAAGCTAGGAAACTTGCCATCTGGGTTGATGTTTGCTGAAGGAGCAATGGCAATAGTACCTGTGCAAGCAGGTCCCAAGTCCGATAGAATGTCGCCAAACAAATTACTTCCAACGACAACGTCAAAGATGTCTGGGCGTTGTACGAAGTGGGCAGTGAGGATATCGATGTGGTACTTGTCAACCTGGACATCTTCATAGTTCTTCGCCATCTCTACCACACGAGAGTCCCAATAAGGCATGGATATGCTGATACCATTGCTCTTGGTGGCACTTGTGAGACACTTGCGAGGACGGCTTTGAGCGAGGTCGAACGCATAACGAAGAACCCTGTCAACACCAACTCTAGTCATGACAGTCTCTTGGATAACAGTCTCCCGGTCGGTTCCCTCAAATATTTTGCCGCCAATACTGCTGTACTCGCCCTCGGTGTTCTCACGAACAATCCAGAAGTCAATATCGCCTGGCTTCCGATTGGCCAAGGGAGAGGTGACGCCGGGCATCAGACGACAGGGACGCAGGTTGATGTATTGGTCGAACTCGCGGCGGAACTTGAGCAAGCTACCCCAGAGAGAGACATCGTCGGGAACTTGGTCTGGCATGCCCACAGCGCCGAAGTAGATGGCGTCAAACTTGAGAAGCTTCTCCTTCCAGTCCGAAGGCATCATCTGCCCATGCTTGTGGTAGTATACGCAGCTGGCAAAGTCGAACCACTCAAACTCCAGCGTAAGTCCGAAGATTTTGGCGACGGCTTCGAGACTCTTGACACCCCATGGCATGACCTCGACGCCGATGCCATCGCCTGGGATGACTGCGATCTTGAGGGGTTGCGGAGACATTGTGGCGGTAGGTAGTGACCCGACTGGTTGAAACGATGTGATGAGACCAAAATTACCGTGACCTCAACTATTAACTTATGTAAATGGATTTTTATAAGACGTTTAACAAGAGTTCAGAGTGTTCCTGAAGTCGGAGGAGTCGTTTCAGCTCCGGGGCGAAGACCGGCGTTGCTTTCGCTTAAATGATGAGCCGCGGGATCCGGAAGCCGACACCCTTCTTCTACCCGGTCACTTCATCCGTGAGGCTATTGTATGTTCATCTAGAGCACATCGGTAGATAGTATCGGGGTATGGTTTTTTTCTTTTCAGCTGGCGCCATATTTCTTGCGTACTGTATGTGAGCTATTACATTTAGTTTGGTGATATCTTACTCACATGCTTCTGTTACCTCAAGTTATCTCGATCATCTCCTCGGGAACCACTGAAACATCTTGCCACCAAAAATCGTGCAATTCAACGTCTTCAAACGCAGAAACCTCCTCATTTTCCTTCAATATGGTCAAAGTCGCTGTTTTGGGTGCCTCGGGGCAGATTGGGCAGCCCTTGAGTCTCCTACTCAAATCGGTATGACTCCAAAAGCCTCACTCATACGGTGTCCAGTGCAAGGCAACTGACATACTTCATCATAGTCACTTCTTGTGACAGATCTTAGACTTTACGATGTTGTTCACGCTGTGGGCGTAGCTACGGATCTCAACCACATTGATACTCCTTCAGTCGTTAAGGGTTATCTCCCCGAGAATGATGGTCTTCAAAAGGCTCTTAGCGGGGCGGAAGTCGTACTGATCTCTGCTGGCATTGCTCGCAAGCCGGGCATGACTCGTGATGGTTAGGCCTTCAGCTCCAGCACAACCTGAATCTTTGGGCTTACACACTTTTAGACTTGTTCAAGACCAACGCCAGCATCATTGCAGACTTGGCTGCTGGTGTTGCCCAATTCTGCCCGAAGGCATTGGTTGCAATTATCACCAATCCAGTCAACAGCACTGTCCCCATTGCCGCCGAAGTGTTGAAGAAGCACGGAGTCTTCGACCCCAAGCGCTTGTTTGGCGTCACGACACTGGATGTTGTGCGCGGGTCCAAATTTGTTGCTGATGTCCTTGGCAATATCAGCCCACAGGATCTCAAGGTACCTGTTGTTGGCGGGCATTCCGGAGCAACGATTTTGCCGTTAATTAGCCAATCCCAGCCCTCAGTACAGCTTAGCCAAGAGCAGATTGAGGCTATCACAAACAGTAAGTTCATTCGTCATGAAGATGGTAAACGCGCAAGCCAATGTAGCATTTGCAGGAGTCCAATTTGGCGGGGACGAAATTGTCAAAGCCAAGGCCGGTGCTGGGTCTGCGACAACATGCATGGCGTACGCTGGTTTCCGGTAAGTCCAGTCCTTTCAAGCAACACATCTGTTTAGTCCATGAATAGTTGCTCATCATGATACCCTCTTAGCTTTGCTCAAGCCATTATCAAGGCTTCTCAAGGCCAGAGTGGTATCGTGGAGCCTGCCTATGTCTACCTAGCTGGGTTGCAAGGAGGTGAGGCTGTCGCCCACGAGCTCGGAGTGAGCTACTTTGCTGTCCCGGTGACCTTCGGGCCTGACGGTGCCAAGACCGCGCATGCCATTGGATCTTTGTCTGATTATGAAAAGGGTCTTTTGAAGGTGGCCGTTGATGAACTGGGAGGAAACATCAAAAAGGGAGAGGCTTTCATCCAGTCACAGGCGTAAAGGGACCGGCCATTACCAGGGTAGAAACTTGACAGCGACATTGGTTCTAATGTGATTCTTACTGCCTACCTAGACCAGTCTTCTCTCAGCTAGGATTAAGCGATAACGTAGCCTGACCACGTAGCCTGACCACGTTGCCTTTTGAACTCCAAAGAATCAGTGAGCCGCCGTGACATTAATTAGATTCGAAGTCCAACCGAAACGCTTCACAGGCGCCAAACGACGAATTTTTCGCTCTTAGTATAGATATTGTGCTTCTGCTCCTGCATCGTTCACAATGTCTAGCAGTGAACCCCATGTAGCTCCATCGAACATATCAAAAAAGTTGTCAGTGACTCCAAACTGTCCATCCATGCCCTGATTGGATGGGTTTCTGTTTCGATCCGGGAATGTTGTTGGTATGGGAGCAAAATAAGAGCCCATAGATGAAGTGTTGTTTTGGAAATTGAAGTCAGGCGGTGAGAAGACCTGGCTGGCATCGGTTTGACGAGCCTGACTCTGGTTAGGCCGAGGGCTGTTTGGGAGGTCGGATGTCTCGAAGTTGAAAGGATTCTGTCTTTGGCTTTCATAGACCCTTAGAATGGGATTGCTATCTCTTTGCCGTTGGGCTGGAATTGGACTTTGATTGTTATGGTTGATGTTTGATATTGGTAGTTGCCGTCGCGGAGACTTTGTACCAAGAGGCTGATCTTGTCGCCCAGGCGCATTAGCGCCTCTTATCCTCCTCTTGCTTCGCTTGGCAGACTTTTGTGTGGCATCTTGACCATCCTCATGATCTGAGCCCTCAGTGGTATCTTTTCGGACTCTCTTATGTGTTTTGGGTCCCTGTGTGATACCCTGAAGCAGGACAGATAGGACTTCTCTGCAGTGTCGAGCCATTGCCCATCGTTTTGTCAACTTGTTTAACAGTCGCAGCGAAGACTCGATTCCTCTACTTTCCCATTAGCGAATTGGTAAAACACTCCAGCTGGCAACTTTGATGATACGCACGATATAGCTTTCTCAACATTGCAAACTTTGAGTCGCGCTGCTAGAGCCAGCACTAGACCACTCATCCACACAGCTGACATGTATCCAGGCCAAAACAAAGGACCTCCCACTTCTGAATACTGCTCAATGATGCGGAGTATCGCGTATGCAGCATTTATGCAAGTCTGTAATGCGTCACGGAACTCTGCACGTCTTGAGTCAAGTGAAAGGGAGGGACGGTTAAGTAAAAGTATGGTGTAATAGTAACTGACGAAGGGAAAGACGGTGGGGTCCGGAGTTAGCTGTGGTATGTCTTGTAAGGCTGGGGTGAAGCACGGCTCTGTGAGATCGTTGCCATAGGCCGTCACATCCGCCTTCAGGAACAAAATTGTTTGATTATCCATTTCTCTAGCATGAATAGACTTGTGGAAGACTTCTAGAACTCTTCCCACTAGCTGTGAGTGCCGAACATGATGTTCTAGAACAGCTTGTGTCTCTTGACGGTGGCGGAGAATCGCGGCAGCCTTTGGTGATATGCTGGATGGCGGAGGGTCGGTACTGGCTCTCTCATGTCTACCAGGTTCCTCGTCTACGTCGGGCGAGGTCTCCGTGGTCTTATCTTGAACTGCTGGAGATGATGCCAACCGTTCGGGGTGGTTTGCAGGTAGGTGTAGGAAAGTGTTCTCCACTTGGCCGTGAAGATCTGACTTTGCAACTGGTTCATGGAGGTCTCGCTGGCCTGGCGGGCATACGTCGATGTCTGAGTCCTGGATGCCATTCGGGTGCCCCAGTGACTGGCTGATGAAACGGTCGAGGACGTAAAAGCTCCAGAAGGTGCGCTTACGCATTGAGCGCTCATCCGGAGACAGATGGTCGTATCGTACTGGGCATCTATGCATGCCAGATTGAAAGATTGACTTGGACAGCAAGCCACTGACAGACGACGCATGGCGTAGCGCCATGGTAGAAACGAAATAAACTTGAGATGCTAGCAACGCTTGAATAGAGATTGTGTCGCAACGAAGGGCTAGCATGCTAAGAGTTGGTAAGAGGTCTGAAGGTGAACGTATAGCTGCTGATCCCAGGTCGAGCGGCCCATCTGTGTCAAGCTTAGCAACGTTCAAGATGCACTTGAAGATGACAAATTGGCAGAGCGATCTTGAACTGCGCCGGTTGAAGTCGGGTGCGTAGAGATTTTCCAAATCTGCTAGACACTCTGGCCCTTGTAGAAAGGGAACCAAAGGATGCCATATTCGGAAGTATGTAAGAAAGAGGTCCCGAGCAATCGTGTAGTCAGGCAATGAGCTCATATCAGTCATGATATCCATCCCTGATGACATCGGTGAGCTCTCAGCATCCGACTCATAGTTCGCTCGACTAGCGCTGCTGCAACCTGGCCTCTCCCCCGAAGACTCCGGGTCATTTCGGTCGTTGTCCCCCACGATGCAATCTTCGGGAGATGGATCATCGTGGGTATCGGCTCCGGCAGCATGACGTCCATCGTCTGCCTCGATGCCTTCGGCTGTTGAGAAGGCCCTTCGAACGGTGTTGATGAAGAAGACACCTGAAGAACTGCCAACAAACTGGCTTTCCCCGTTGGCAAGAGCCCTGAGACTTCCGATCTCTGGTGCCATGTTGAGAAACTTGTTGCCAAGCTGATGGGAAGCCGAGCCACGCTCCGTCGATGCTGCTTGCTCTCATCCGCCCTCAAAATGTGTAAATGTCGTCAAAGACGCGCTTACGCACAACGCCTTGAGGGGTGGGGTGCGGCGGAGTTAGGTTACCCCGGCTGTCTGCCGAAGATATCCGCCCAGGGAAGCTAAATGCGATTCATTCGCCCCCAACAAGGACCTCCTACCAAGTTGGCCATGATAATGCTACGGATAACAAAAGGCTCTTGAGATTCTGAGGACGTGATACGAATTACTTCAATGATCTACATTTGGCTTCATAAGAAGAGGTCGTGGCTAGATAATAATAGTATTACGGACCTACTTAAAGTATTCTCATCGCTGTGTACCTCACCTATGGCCACACATGAGGTAGCCTTGATGCGACGTGGCCTAGGAACTGCAATTACCAAAGGAATGCGCTTTCGTAGCTTTCCAAAGCTGGCGGGCGCGTCTGCCGCTTCTTTTCACTCGTTCTCGTGTCGAGGTTGGCTCTAGAACCCGTCATCCCTGCTGAGAGTAACCCAACAGCTCCTCCGCCCGTGTCGCGTATCCCCAAGGCGCTTGACATATCCGGGTCTATCACGAGGGTTTCTCCATCTTCTCCCATGCTTTCTGCGCGCGTCGTGCCCTCGGACTCCTCGATATCATCATCCCCGTAACTCTCATCGCCGCCTGGTGTATCATCAGTCGGCGTGTCGTTCGTAGCAGCAACCTCGGACGCGTGAGAATTTTGATTGGACGTCTCGCTTGGTTCTTTCGAGGTTCGTTCTGCCCACCAACGCTGAACAGCTTCTACTGAGTCGATAGGATGGGAGGCCCAGTACGCAGGGCCAAACTTTTCTCCTTTGACCACCTCAATTGATGCTCCGCCATGGGCCGATGATGCACCCCCAGTCGATCGGAGGCCAGCTTTTGGGATATCACGAAATGCTCTTTCCAGTTGGTCCCCTGACACTTGAGCCAACAGTGCGCAGAGAACTTGTTCGGTTTCCATCAAACGCTTTTCCATGGTCACGATGTAATGCTTCGGAGGCCCACTACATAAGCCTTAAGTGTCAGTCATGTAAGATAGAAATTTAAGAGGAAGACTGGAGAAGAGACTTGGCTTGGCGACCAAAGGTAGAGACTGACCGTTTTCTCTGTTCAGGCCACTGACATGACACATTGTTGATACCGCATTGTGCACATTTTGGCCTACAGCGATGAGTTTTCTTGTTATTACAAAACATCAACCAGACGGGAATGAGCGCACCTCTCCCCACTACACTGTTGTTTGACCAAGCAGTCAGTCAACCTCTGCTGGTTGTAGGTTATGAGTGACTCTTCTCAACCCACCTTGTGTTTTCGCGCTCTGCAGGCCAAGCAGGCCCCACGACTCCGAGTTATTTTCTTGGTTCCTTGGCCTGCCATAGGTATTGACGGTATACTTGGCTTCTTGCCGAGATCGGGCTCAATTGGCCGTGGAGAGACGCTGATCAAAGGCTTAAGAGACGGAGGAGATGGCCAGACGCGCGTAATATTTGAGCCGCGGATAAAGGAAGCTCCGCGGAGAAGTCGAATTTGGGAAGAAACATGTGGGTACCCATCGATTGCCCCACGCTGATCTCTCCTGCGACTGAATACGGCCAACACGGGAATCATGGATTATCGAACATGGTTGGAAATTTTGTCATTTTCCCTTTCTACGTCGCAAGATCGTGTGGCCTATGGACGTGCCTCATAGATTCATAGCTCTGTTGCTCCTACGCGGACTGCTCGTAGGCCTCAGCCTGCTCAGGAACGACCGTCAACAACCTTTCCTTTAAAACACCCCGGCGTGCGTTTTCTATGGCCAGCGACTCCATCTGACCAAGTGTCTCAACGGTGTGGGTTCCCAGGTGAGGTACGAGCAATGCTCTTTCGTTCTTGACTAGTCGCTCGTCAACCAGTGGCTCCTTTTCGTAGACATCCAGCCCAACCGCTGCGATGTGGCCCTCATCCAGGGCGGCGGCCATAGCTGCCTCATCAATGACAGCACCACGGGCGGTATTGATCAAGACTACACCCGGCTTCATCTTGGCGATCTCTGCGGCTTCGATCAAGTGCGTAGTACTGGCTGATAGCGGGACGTGGACAGAGATAATATCGCTGGTGCTGAGAAGTTCATCGAAGGAAACATATTGACAGCCTGCAGCGAGATCATTCGACAGCGGCTTCCGGTTGTGGTAGATTGTCTTGAGCCCAAAAGGCTCGGCCCGGCGCTTGACTGCACGACCAATGCGGCCCATGCCGAGAATTCCCAATGTCTTGCCTTGAGGATCATGGCCAAAGTCGAGGCCTTTTTTGAAGTTGCCGCTCCTTAGACTAGTAAAAGAGGGATTCAACTGGCGGATGGCTCCGAGGAGAAGGAAAATGGTCAGGTCGGCAGTGGCCGACGTGACTGGGTCTGGCGCATAAGTGACGATGATGTTGCGCCGCGTGCAGGCATCGACGTCGATCTGATCGTATCCGGCGCCAGTATGGCAGATGTACTTCAAAGACGTAGGCAATTGGTTCACGAACTCTTCGTCAAACTTTCCAGCAACCTGTCAATGTTAATAATCCGAAGGGTAATGTGACAAATAATTTACAACTCCACTAGAAGACGTTCTGAAAATAGCCTCGATATTCTGATACTTGCTGCGCAAGTCGCTGAAGAACTGATCTCGTGAGGTACTAGTGACCACTTCGGGATTGGCCACCAGCTTCAAAGCCTCATACTCCTGTAGTGCATGGCGGACGGCGTTGAAGAAAAGGATGCGAGGTTTCGATTGCGACATGCTGGCGACTCTGTGTATCGGCATTATCTCCGTCTACATTGAATATGTTGATTGACTGGCGACATTTTGTCTTCCTTTAAACTGTTGAAGCCATCTTCATTAAGTGCTTGCGCTTGGCCGATGTAATACGTGGCCGCGCTTCAAGCGCCGCGCTTAAAATATTAGGCGAAGGCGTGTTTACCGACGGAACCCAGTTGCCGGTGACGGCTGTAACGGAACCATTCGCTTTACTTGGAGTTGTCTTTTGAGTTGTAGACTATCAGAAGCTCTTGAAAGATTGGAAGTCTATTGGCTATCCCTCCATCTATCACTCCAGAATGTTGTGATGCTGAACTGGTAGGTTGTCCCTGGTGCCGCATCGACTACTCCTGGGTTTCCAATCCCTCTTGCGCAGTGTCGACGGTCCATTGACGACTTCTGAGCAATTCAGAGTTTAATTGATGCTCGTCCTGTCTTCAGCCTCAGGCACTCCAGGAGCCCCTTCAGACGACGGTGTCCAGGTCGGTCAGAGGATAGCTGGCACCAGCCCCATTAAGCCCTACGTTGAGAACTTGACTAGACTACGTGACTCTTCCCCCAAGTCTTCGCCTAATTTTCGCTTGTTCGCTACCAATGTTGCCACCTGTATAGTCCTGGGGACCTCGGTTCGAATCGTCGGCTTTCCTGAAGTAGAAAGAGGGGACACGCGCAACTGCGTACGGACGTAAGAGGCAGATCGATTGGCCACTATTGAGGGGCAAATGAGCAAGCATACCACTACAATAGCAGCTAGCAAGTTAACCTTAATTAGTCTTGGTCGTAGACTCGAGGCTATATTCGTAATGGGACTATGAGGAAATCGTATCAAACGTTAGCGGTTAGCTCTAACCGATCGACCCCCAGTAGCACCAGCGTTGACCTCACAGACTTATGGCAGCCCATTCTACCAGTCTTTGGACCGACACCCAGGAATAGCGCGTGGGTACTCTCACTCAGGGTAACGACAGTCTCGCATGTTTCATAACGCTCGCAGTCAAGTGGGAAGAAATGGAGTCGCAGAGAGACAAGCACAATTGTGCACCGGGGTTGAACGAACACAACTTGACATGGGCGAATGTCTGTGATTCCACAGATGTATGCCATTTCAGCAGTGGAGTTCATTGGTACATGGAGTCTTCCGCAATGTTTCCACAATTCCATACGGCATAGAGCAAGACTTCGGTACCTAGAGGCCGGACAACGAAATAATATGCGATAGCACTGGGCAAACAAGTCTGATAGGAAACTCGACCGCTCACCCTAGAGTTCAAGATCCAAACATCCTGATGCAATAGCAACTGTCAAAATACCTGCTCTTCGCCTTGTCTCTGCCATTTTTCTGTTCAAGTGTTCATGCTCGCATGGGTCTTCTGGGTCCGGGCTGCGCCTGTCTGTTAGAGAAGGCATGTGGACGAGTTTCGTCACTTTGACGGCGGAAATTATTGTTTAGTCGCAGTCGGCTTCGGTCTGACGACGCCAACAACTAATATCGTTCGCAGTTGGACTTCTTTCCAAAGTTACTACTGAAGCAAAGAAAAATTTAGCGGTCGGGGTCTGACGTAACGCATTTGAGTAAAAGCCTCCGGTGCGAGTGGTATCTAGAGAACCTACCAGACAATTTGCTCCATTTTCTTCAACAAGTCTATCATATCGTTACAATTTCGGCTCCGACTCCTGAAAGGCACAACGATTCTAAAGTCGGTATTCGGCACGCAGTACCCAAGCAAGTCGTCTTGTGTGGTTGGGCTTGCCCTCGGTCCTCGAGCACTATCCATTGTAACTGAGTACTGTAGGGCACTATGGCGAACATTTCGACACTTTTGGACCGGAGCCATGTTCAAGACTAAGTACTATCAATCGTTTGTTAACGGCTCTCACATCTTGGAGGGTTCGCATTGCTCTATCGACCAAGACTTGCACTTTTTGACAATGCCAGTCAGCTTCGGTCGCGTCTCGAACTGTTGGAAGAATGGTCCCATCATACCGAAGGAATCGTAGCCTACTTGCGTATAATCATTAGATCGCGTCTTGAAGAATCTGCCTCGGTCGATGACTAGAGTGCGAGGTGGACGCGGTCGAGTTGATTGAACTTGTCGTCGTCGCCCATGACTGGAATTCCGAACTTGCCGCCATGGCTCGCGTTTGCACAGGGCTCAATTCAATCAATCTTCCGGATCCAAGGGACTCATGTCGGCTTTATCTCGCACGGAATTCGGTTTCGAAGATGACGGGCTCGATTTACTCCTCCTGTCACCGAGGTTTTCCTGTTCGATAGGTTGCTTTCCCAGGAGAAGATCCCCCACGCGAACGAGGTCCAGGACGTGGAACGGGTCGCCTGTCGATCGTAGTCGATTGAATATTTCGGTTGCCTCTGCTTCGGGCCGTGAATAAAGGTCCCTTATCAGCTCGTGGAGATCATTATTCTCTTTTTCAAGTTCTTCCAGTCGGTTGACAATCGCCTGTCTTCTGGTTGTCTCAATTGGGGTATCCCACTCGCATTCGACGTTTTGCGTGGAACATCGCGAACAGATCGGTCGGGTCGCGGAACACTGTGTTATTGAATACTAATCAGCTTTGTGGCTGGCCGTATCGAGATATTAGGGGTCCGGCTTGGCTGGTTCGAACTTCTTAAGGGGGTGGATGGAGAGGGGAAAAGGTTGACGGTTAACTGTCTAATCTATTCATGATTTGACAAGTCTTCTGGCCACTTTGCCCCACCTTAACGGCGATGTCAACGACCTGGATAAGTACCGTTGCTATGTGTGGTACACCAGGTCGTGGCAAAAGGTACTTTTTTCATCAGGGGTAGGAAGCTAGAGGCGGGCGAATTTTCCCTCTTCTTCTCTCTACGTCAATTTCGATAGGGTCTACGACTTACCTTTACTTTTCTTCTGCGACACTCAAGGCAAGCTGCTGGCACAGTCTGTCTCTGCCGTCGAAATGGAGGTTCCGTTGAGATCACGCGAGGACCAGCGCCGGCTGGCAAGAGACGCCTGAAGCTTGTGGCTGGCGCAGGAGCATCTGGGTTCGGAGCGTCCCTTGTGTCATCGTCGTGTTGCGAGCCCAACATTGGTCCAAGATGAGGAAGAAAGAAATGATGACAGCGGTATTGCAACACGACTCTCCCCATTAATAGCCTCGGAAGAGTATTTATAGCCAACCATTATTGAGTGGAATCAATATTCCAACAGCATCTCTTGGCCACTGCACATCTCATCTCTCGGCCATAGTACGGATACCCAACTGATACACCCCGCAGGCGTGGTACCATCCCTGCTGGCGTTTGGAAGGATTTCCGTCTGCACTGGTCTAGGCCATCGAGAAAGTGAACTTGCCCTGTCGATTGAAGCCCCCTTTGGAGTGCTTATTCTTCCACAGCAGCCAATCTTACACCCTTCGGTACCTTACCCTTCAAGCGGTCCATAGTGCAGACGCGACGGTCATCCGCATGTGGGCGTGATGTGGCAAGTTAATCGGGCCCTGAAGATGCTGCGGGTCTTCTGCTTGCTTTTTACTATTGTACCTGTAGCGACTCGGGTGTGGCTTTGCCACAGCTTTGCGGTCACGATGAAGCGGAGGATCCGTTTCGATTTGATGTATGTGTGCAGAAGGCAGACTGGTTCTTGTCTACATCTCCTTGAACCCCATCGGGCATAGCATTAGCTCGAAGAGTTCCCATCGACACGCACTTCTTGCTTGAGTTGAACTTGAACAAAGCTTTAGCCGGTGTTAAGTTGGGAAGCGTGCCAAGGGAGAGAAGCCATGGCGTGGGTTTTCGCTTGTGCCCTAAAAGCCGTGCCATCATGATCCACGGACCACGAAGCGCAGACTGCACAGCACACACATGGCAAAGGTTGAAATCTCAATGGTGATTTGGTGGATAGGTCAGAAGATCTAAGCCCCTCAACTAACATGTAGGGGCATGTCTCAAAATTCTGGTACTTGATGAAGCGACCGACCCCTCGATTCACGAGCTTCCCTCGTCCCATGTTATTACCTAGTGGTACTGCGTACCTTAGATAACAAGGTCAAAGTTGTACAGCTGGTAATGCACCATTCACAAGAAGGCATTGTGAATATCACGGATGAATTGTGGTTTCCTATCAATTCGAGACCCAATTGCTATTCCATTAAGGTCAGAGTCGCTGTCATCTCGGAAGGAGTCCAGGTTGATGAGTTGACAGCACCAAAGTCCTTCGGAACCATTCACCCCTCCTGGTCTCGTAATCATTTCTCCGACTCCCTCTATCAGCAAATGAATTGAAAGGTCGGCTGTCGACGAGTTCGAGGATCGGCCTTCTTCTCTCGCACGGCGACCTGAAATGTTAAGCCCCCCTTCTCGAACCTCGATGCTATTGACTGCACGAGCTGCAGAGCCGTGCGACTCAACCAGCTTGATCAAACTTGAATTAACTGAAATCTGGAAGTGGTGGGCGCCATGTGCTGCGACTCAGGGTAATAAATTTTACTACTAGCTCAATGGGCCACCCAACCACCGTGTCTTCATCCTAGGGCCATCACATTTTTGACACTATTATGGGCAATCGAGTCTTACAACCCCATACCACAAGTGCAAGTACATTCCCGGAAAACATGCCCTCTCTCTCGCGGACACTCCAATTACCTATCCTTTCAACTTCGCTTGAGGGGGCCATGGCAACTCATCAAGGTAGAAATCACCCCCTCGGGCTTCGGAAGTCGGGGCTAAGCTGGCCGCACCGAGCCCTACAGCGCTGCGTCCTTGATCACGGGGCAAGGAATATTGACGCGAGCCAATCTTGCTTTTCGAAGGCGCCCAATGGTCGATCGTGATCAGCTCCACGGAGCAGTCCGTGGCAGCAACCACCTGAGTAAGGTACTTAGGTAGCGATTGGCAACGATTCAGCGATGAGCAACCCACGACTAATGATCATTCCTAGCTGTCTGTAAGTTAGGATAGTTTACTTAATGCTCGGCAGTACAGAAATCTCTGCGCACTTGTGAAGCAAGCTTTGCAAACAACTCCACGATTCAGTGGTTCGGCGCCACATGTATCAAACCCCCCTTTCAGTCAAGCGCAGTAATCCTTCTCAGAATGTCAACTAGACCTGTACACCGCAGAGAAAAGTGCTCAGAGGCGCAGAAGGTTCATTCTAGGTCGCACTTGGGACTACCATCATGGCAGCATGGCTGGGGTGTCTACCTGCATGTGGGATCCAGGTTTCGGACAGAAACAGCAGATCCAACATCGCCCACCGTATGATGGTAGCACAAACCTGGTGGAGACTTCCTTCTACATTTTCGTCTCTGGTTCTTAGACACAATCAATCATTTTGCCACTCCAGGAGGGGAAATACCATCGCGACGAGCTCCTAGTCTCCTCCGGATGACACGGGAATTGCCGCGAAAAGGTGTGTACAGTTGTTGAGTTGTCGCGGGCAGCGTTCTTCATACACCTCACATGATGACGCTCTTCCGTATCCCTCGAGGCCACCAAAGCTACGACCGTTACTTGCCATAACCTTTCCAACACCTGAATGTTGCCCTGCGACACAAACACCAACGGGCAGGAGACAGGGGTCAAGGACCACTGTGACCTTGCTTCCCGGTCCCTCCAGAGGAATCGTACTCCATGTTGACCGAGCTTCCAAGTTACAGCTGTTGGGGCCAGAGAAGTTGCCACCCAGTCGATTCACGGGTGGACAAATCCGCCAGGAGTCAGGGGTCAAGCCATTCCGATTTTGCTCCAAGTTCGATCATACAGCGAAGCCGTCCATGACTACCTTACAAGGCTATTTCGATATCCAAGTTAAGGGAGCCGAGGAAGGGAGAATTGATGACCGGAGGTATGAATTACTTGAGGCGGTGTTGCAACCCTAGGCATACCCTACCTTACACGAAGTTCAGTCTTGGCCAATGATCTATCTATCATACCTTGGGTGAATGCGAGGAAGAACGCCCGCCTCCGACTCGAGCAAAGTATTCGGTGAACTCCGATTTCAAAAACGAAGCCATTACTCGTGAAGCCAGTCCAGGGCATTGTCAGGTGCTGCAGGCCTCAAGGGTCGCCCAGCATCTAGCTAAGCAAACTTCTACGATCTTCTGTAAATATCAGACGCTCTATGCTCCAAGCATGAGCAGTAGGGCTTTGGTGACCTGTAGAGTCATCGTGCTGCATCAGGCCGGTGCTCCCCCTTGAACGTCCAGTCCACATGCATCTGAGGCATGAGGTGGCGAGCTCTGTCTCCTCGCCTTTTGCATCCCGATATCTAAGTGCGAATATGAGAATAGTTCGAGGGGCTGCATGACAACAAAAGAAACCAAATGAGAGATTGTAGGTAGGTACAACTGCCCAAGCGACAACCATCTGAATGGACAGTAAGATTTACCCCTATTCAGCGTGCCCGATATCCCCCGAGACAGAATGTGCGCAGTCCCCCACTTCTCAACATAGAATCCGTTTATGAGCATTAAACTCAAGGCAATGAATGAGAGGTCAAGTTCCTCAAGGTAAAATTAGCAAGCAAAGGCCCAAGGATACACATTTCGCAGACGAGATGATTCCCTCCCAATCATTACCAAATGGTTTTCCAGGTCCAAGAAGGCAAGATGATCGCTATTATCAGAAGATAGAACATCATTCAGGAGACTATTCCCACAAGGATGATGAATCATGATAAGGATCTTTTAGACAGGAAGCGAATCGCTGGCGATGTGCATTGGCATATAGGTATGCGACAGCCCCTAAAGGTCCGTGGAAGTCGGATGCCGCAGAGACCAAAATGTTACTTATATCAAACTCCTTTCACTGCGCTGTGTAGACTTGACTTAGTGGACAGCGCGCTTTTCAGCGTGAATTAGTTGATCATGATAGGTTCAATCTACTATCATAGATCCCTTCGCCTCCGGTGTTGTCCCACGGCATCACTGTAGAAGACTGGAGTGGGATCAATACCGCGCCTATGCCCTCTCGAACAGTGGCGGCCATTCATCCAGCCCCAGGTTAAAACTCATCATAGCCTAAGGTAAGGGGTCCCACCGGCGGCTGTGATCATTAATCCTTGCGAATATCAGAAGTACCAGGTTGAAGGACAGCTTGTATAACAAATATCAGCAGTATTTAACGGCAGCTGAAAGCTTGCAAATCCCAGAGCACGGCCAAATCCGCGGGTGCTCGCTATTTAAATACCATCAGATCAGCAGACGGTCTGGCATCTCTCAGTCGCGTTCTAGGCTGGGCTGTCAAGGTACTCGTTGTCCTTTACAATCTCTACACCACGATCCTTAGACAGTCGATTCGTTAATTCACATATGAACAGTTATGCATTTAAGCAAGAGTCCGAGCCCATCCCAACATTACCCAACTGGGTGGGCGTGAATGTCTTGCATGTGCAATAAACTTTAACCCCGACGACCACTGACAGCCGGTGGGATCACGGACTTCACGGACTGCTTTCTCCTCACCTCTCTGCCGGAATCCGGTCGAGCCGTGACGGTTCGGACGCGTCACCGAAGCTGGGGTCGAAAATGAAGACAGACTGATTGGTTTGTGTAACCATCATGAGAGTTCGGGGATTCTGATGGGATTGGAGGCCCGAATTTCCATGCGAGTGCCACGGCCTTTCATTGGGCAGAGGACCGTCTGATGAACCTGGTCACACCATCTCGACACTAATAGCCTCTTGAATCAACGGTAAAAATGTGGGCGCAGCCAAACCGGTTTGTGGCCAGACCGGGCCGATGAGCGTGGGCAGGGCCCAGGGGACCGTCCTATCTCAAATCAAAACCTTGCAAACTCAGAGCAGTCGGAGGCTGGACTTCTGATTGAAGGAGAAATGTCGGCAATTCAATCAGCGTTGAAGATCATTGTCCGATAATCGTAGCCCTGCAGCTGAACTAGGCTGCCTCGACCTGTAATACATGACTGGTGACCGTCCACTTTGCCGCCAGCATTCGTTGCCTATTGAGCTTTGAGCATAGACAGTGTATGTTGAAGACGAGTTTTTGTCCGTTCTACGTACGTTTCCCATCATTTCTTCGTTGTTTCGTTTTGGTGACTTTATTGACAA